CCCACCCCCGCTCAGGCAACTTGGAGGGTGAGGGGTAACACTTCATAGTGAGCGAATGGGAGGGTGCTTAGGATTCGAAGTTTTCTCCCATCATTCGGGTGCTGATGGGAACGGGTTGTAGACAGAAGGGTCATGTGGTGGGTGGAGTGAGGGCAGGCATGGGGGTCCCCCAGAGTTCCTGGAGGTGGAGTGCAGAGGAACAGGAAGCATGGAAGGTTGGCTTCAGTTTTGTGTGTTTTATTGTAGAATGGCAAAGGAACATTTTGTCTGATGTAAAATTCATGGTATTAAAATCTGTACATATCATAACAAATGATTCAAATCTTTGATGCCATGATATTTTTCTGGTGAACCATAGAATTCCTCATAAAGTTTAGACGGCCCTGTGTACTTCTAACAATCTGGAGAAAGAGGGGCCCTGCGGGCGTCACGGAGCCCCTGGGATGCGCCGAGCGTCCTGTCCCCACTTATCTGAGCTGGAGTCTTAATTTTAAAAGTGGCGCAGGGACAGTGAAGGGCAGGGGGCCCTGAGTTACTCGATGGTGTGGGTGGGGGTAAGGCGCTGAGTGGTGTTGGGGTGGCTGCAGCTGCCGGGCGGCCCTCGCTCGCACCTCAGATCACACACAGTGACCCCGCCTTCCGGGGGTGCCCAGCGTGCCCAGAGCTGCCAGCCACCCCCTCTGACCTCATGTGTGGTTCGTGGTGCAGACACTTATTACAAAGATATTTTTGCAGCATTTCAAGTGTACTGTAGAGTTAAACAGTAACGGTTTAACATTTTGGATTCCGTAACACCGTGTGCTCTGTTTTTACCACAAGGTGAAACCAAAGCAGATGACAGTTCGAACAAAGACGCGTCAGAGGACAAGCAGGAGGAAGACAGTGACTACCATAGGAGTGACGAGCAGGTTGGTGACTGCAGGGCGTCCCCTAAAACTGTGCTGGACGGAAGTGCCCTGGGGGCTTCTCCCCTCGGTGTGTTCTCATTTAGAAAAGAAAAAGTCCCAGAGGGAAAGAAAGTGGAGGTGTTAAAATGTTAGTATACTTCCTTAGGTTTTCCTGCCAGTTCCTTCTTTCTTTAGTAATATGTGCTCCCTGCAGAACATTATAAATATGAAAACGTTAAAGCTCACACTCCATACACTTTGGGTCTCTTCAGCCCAGTCCCCAGCTTGTCACTGAGAAATTTGGTGCTAGGCATTTTCGGTGCACACGCAAATGTTGTGTCAGATGAATTCAATGTAGTAAGAGAAAAATTTAAATGTAACATTGAGGAATCTATTCATGTCATGTACTGCATTATCAGATTTAAAAAGAAAAGTAAATGGTCACTTTTTACAGAGGTCCTTGCTGTAATAGGATCTGATAAAATCCTGTACCCGTGTCCACTGACCTCGTGAACGTGGCTTCTGAACTGGGAAGCCATGAGGCCCATCCTATGTTAGAAGGAATTAGTGTCAGAAACAAGGAAATGACCTTCCTTAGCTGTTAGCATGACTTTGAAGATCGAGCCCCCATGCGGGAGGGAAACAGACATGAGATGCGTGTGGGACGCACCCCGTCTCTGATCAGACTGTTGCCTGACGTGTAACCTGAGACCTGCAGCTGGAAAACTGTTCAAGTGTAGGTTGCTCATTCGGGCGATAGTAATCGTGTACGTAGGTGGGTGCCTCACTCACATAACTAATAACATTTTCAAAGTGGCCAGACAAGAACATGTGTGGCCTAAGTGAGACGCTAAGACCTTCGGGAAGAATGTAAGAGGAAAGTCAGGAATTGGATGCAAAGCCTGAGGTTAAGATGTCCGTGCTCCCCAGACCAATCGCAGTGGTTGCCGTTCAGTGACTTATCATGGATTTAGGCAGCTGCTTCTGAAGCTCATCTAGGAGAGGAAAAGCTCAGCGCTCGCCACAAAGACGACAGGTGCTGGCCACGTGAGGGGCGTGTGTGACGTGCGCAGACACACGTGCTTTATATGCGTGCATCCTGCACTCTGCTCTACACCTGTGTGTGCAACGCACAAAATGCACACCTGTGACTACATACCCAGGTGTTTCTGAAAGATAGAATAGTGTGGTTTGGGTCCAAGACTAGAATCACAGAACCTGAGTTTTCCGGTGTGTGTACTTGTGTGCTGGGAAACACCCGGAGCCTTGCACAGAAGCGGCATGTCTGCGGGTGTAGGTGGCGGTCGGCAGCATTTCAGGTCAGAGGAGAAGAAAAGGACCTTTTGTTCCTTTTCTGACTTCTTCAGTTGACTATTCATAGTTTCCAACTATACTACTTGGTTCTAAATACCGTTAAATTTTCATTACTATTTCTTTTTTGACCCATGGGTTATTTTTTAAATTATGTATTGAAAATTCTAAACATCAAATCTTATTCAAAAGCTACAGTAATCAAGACACTGTGTTAACAAGCATTAAGGTAGACTTGAAATCAATGGAACAAATTCTAGAGTTTAGAAATAAACCCTCATATGTATGGTCATTTGGTTTTCACAAAGGTGACAAGGCCCTGTGCAGGGAGAGGGTAGTTCGTGTTCTTACAAAGGATGCTGGGGCAGGTGGAGGCCCACATGCAAAAAGAGTGACGTATGCCCCTACCTCACACCACACACAAAGGTTAACTCAAAGTACGAGAGCCAAAACCTGAAAACTTTATTAAGGAAACACGAGAGAAAAATCTTCAGGACCTTGGGTTTAGGTCTAGAATTCTCAGATTCAACACCAAGAGTATAACCCATGAAAGAAAAGCGATGAATTGACTTATTCAAATTAAAAACTGCTGCTCTATAAAGATACTGTTAAGAAAATTAAAAGATAGGTCACAGGGGTGGCCAGGTGGCTCAGTTGGTGAGAGTGCGTGCTCTTAACAACAAGGTTGCCGGTTTGACTCCCATGTTGGATGGTGGGCTCTGCACCCCGCAACTGTTCGGTCGTGGGGAAAGTCATGACGTATTTTTCTATGTTTTTCAATGCAAAAATGCTTTCCTGATGACCCAATAGATGGAAAGCGGCGACTAGACTTGGAGCTGATGGGTCCCGGAGAAAACACATTGTTCCCCAATAAAGTTAAAAAAAAAAAAAGAGGACTAGTAAAAATTAACCCTTTAGAAAAAAAAAAAAAAGATAGGTCACAGACTAGGAGATATTTCTGATAAACGACTTGTGTTAGAATATATGATTCTTATAGCTCAATAAGGAGCTAATCCAGTTAAGAAATGAGCAAAATATTTCAGCAGCCACATCACCAAAGGAGACCTACACAGGGTTAATAATCATGTGAAAAGATGTTCAACATCATTAGTCACCAGGCAAATATAAATTAAAACCATATCGAAACACCTTTCTACCCAGTAGAACGTCTCTTATCAAAAACACGGCCACTGACAGGTGCTGGCAGGACGTGGAGGGACGTGAGCTGGGGCAGCCGCTGGGCACTGCAGCCTCTTAGAGTGAGACGTGCATTAACCGTCCGACCCAGCGATTCTCCTAGGTGTGGGTGGAAACAGCCACACAGAGACTCGAATGGGAGCGTTCCTAGCAACACCCTTCGCACCCATCAGCTGATGGTGGGTAGACAGTGGGGTCCTCGTACGCAGAGGAGGACGGGTCAGCCGTGAAAGGAATGATGGCTGGTACTCGCTGCCGTTCGCGTGGATGAAACTCAAAACATTTCACTAAGTGAAAGATGTCAGGCGCGACAGACCACCCTGTGTGGTCCCATTTATATAAAATGTCCAGAGAAGGTCTGTCTAAAGAGACGTGGCCCACAGCGGTTGCCTGGGGCTGGGGAGGGAGGCGGGACTGCTCCCCGGTGGGTCCAGGGGTGTGAGCTGACGGAATTGCGCTGGAGCTGGATGGTGGTGGCGGCCGCACAAGCCTAAGTTCACTAAAAATTACTGGATTGTGCACTCAAAACAGATCCATGCGAATCAGACCTCGGTGAGGCTGTTAGAAAATTACAAACGTGCTTTGGTGTTAGTGTATTTAACTCCCTAAGACATTCATGCAGTCCAGACTGATATTATATAAGAAGCTTGAATTTAACACTGTCACTGTCATACCTGGCACTGTCCCCGCTGTTCCCCCAGATAGGTCACCACTTCGTGACTATTTCCTGCGTTTTTTATGCAAAGCTGAACATAAGCGTATTTTCTCATTTCTTCCCTTTTCTTACATAGAAAGCATGTGCAGTAAACATGGGTGTCACCCCCCACTTTGTTTCCTGCAATAGCACAGCATGCAGTTTCCATACTGGGACACAAGGGCCTCCCACCCCATTGGGGGGCTCGGGGCCTTATTTCCTGGGCCAGCGCCTCTTGATGGCACGAGGGCCTGTGCAGCCCGTGCTGCCGCTTAGGCCCTGCACTCGGCACCCGGCACCCGGCGTGCTTGCAGTTTCTCCTCGTGGATTCCAGCTTCGTCGCAGTGGGTCACAGCGGCTGATGTGCGTGGTGCCTTCACGTTGGGCCTGGGACGGTGTGCAGCTGCCACTTACCCAGAAATAGGCCAGAGTCACCACCGCACTGGGTCTGGGCCTCCGACATTCTGTCCATTTAAGTTTGTTCCATCCTTAGGGACTTTTTCTTATTCAGCTTTCTTTCTTGAAGTCTACTTTATCTAATACTAGTATAGCTATGTCCGCTTTCTTTTCGTTAACATTTGCCTGGTATTTCAGTTTGTTAAAAATCTTGCTTAAATGTGACACTTTTTACAACACAGAGTTGGGGTTCTCTAAAAACATCAAATCAGAAAATTAACTGACAAGATATTTTACATTTAGCATGATTACTGGTAAATTTGAGGGTTTTTTGCTTTAGGTCTTTCCATTTATTTTTTTTATGCTCTTCCCTTTGTCTTCTCTTCTAATCTCTTTTTTGCCTGTGGTTGGCAAGGTATATGTCCTGTTTTTATTATGTTAGTTGTCACGGAGTTCTAAAATGAATATTTACAGTTTTAAAAAGTCTGAAGTTAAAATAAGCCTTTCTTTCCCCTAAACAACATGAAGCCAAGCCCGCTCTGCCTTTACGAGTCAGTTGCCCCTCGTCTTCCAAACCCCGGGCTGCTCAGGGCTTCGCCGGCTCAGCTCTCGCGCCTCCCGGCTCCCCGTCCTGGACGGCCGCGAGTTCTTCCCCGGCTGCGTCTTCTCATCACTTCCTGTCAGCGCCCCGGCCCCAGACTCGGGGAGCCACCTGCCACAGTGGCCTCGCTCGTGTGTCCCGTGTCAGCCTGGGTGCAGGTTTCCTTTTCTTTTGGATTTTTTCACTTCCTGAATTTGAGGATTGATGTCTTTCATCCTTTTGGGGGAGGTCCTGGGGTGTTATTTCTTAATTTTGTTTTTCCCTTATTCTCCCTTCCCTCTGGAACTCCTCCTCCGTGCCTGTTAGGCCCTTTGGTCTGGTCATGTCTCTGCCTTTCCTTTATGTTGTCATCTTAATAGATATCTTTGTCGCCAAACTTGTTTTGGGTAATTTACTCAAGTCAGTCTTTCAGGAAATTGAACTGTCTTTAGCTGAGAGTAGTCTCTGGTTCAGCCACTCATTGAGCTTTTAGTTTAAGTGAATCTTTTTTGTTTCCAGACGTTGTATTTAGTTATTTTTTGTATCTTCCTGTTCGTTTTCCAGTGTTTTAAGTTCCCTTTTTTGGTTAAGTCCTTTGTTAATTGTTCACCTGAATTTGGGGGTGTGATTGTGCCATCTTTTGCAGGTGCTGCTGGAGAAGGGTGAGCTGGTGAGCGATGTTGGGGGGCTCCCTCAGCGGCCCTGCATGGCCTGGGGTTTCCCTCTGCAGAAGGCTCCCTTTGCATCCACCAGGTGCCCAGGACCTTAGAGTCACTTTTCCTTAGTTTGTCTGTGGCCCCTTGTAATGTACAGCGTACTCTAATCCCACAGAGCTGTTGTCATCCAGGTGGTAACCTGATGTTTCAAACTTTGTGCCTTTGCTCACGGTTCTTCCTCTGCCCAGAGTCTGCTCTTGTCTGGCGAGGGCTGTCTTTTGTCAAGGCCAGGCAGAGTGCTAGGCTCTGTCCGAGCCTTACGATGCTGTGGAGGATGGGTGGCGCGTGCCTCGCCGCGTAGGTGCTCAGCTGGGGACGAGCGCGTGTGTCCTGCCTCCAGAGCTGGCCAGGCCGGGCTCCGGACTCTGTCGGTTTAACGCAGAGGCAGCACAATGTCTACGGTGAATAAGTAACTCTTGGATCGCCTCTGCAGTGCTGTGTTAATGAAAGAACGGACAGTGTTAGGTTATAGCTCACAAAATGGCAGACAATAGACAGGTTTTAAGGTAATGTGTGTAAAACAATTTTGAAAGATTCTTGTTTTACAGTGTTGAGGTTACGACAGATTTCTCATTTCAAAAAAGCCAACATTCTTGGATTGAATGAGCCCGTGGCTGCCCAGGGAGGCCTCCGGTGCAGCCTGGGTACCCTTGGCTTGGCCGGCCCACACGTGTGCTCTCTCTTGAAGGTGAGCATCTGTCTGGAGTGCAACAGCAGCAAGCTCCGGGGCCTGAAACGCAAGTGGATCCGCTGCTCGGCCCAGGCCACCGTGCTGCACCTGAAGAAGTTCATCGCCAAAAAGCTCAACCTGTCGTCCTTCAACGAGGTAACAGGCGCGCTGTAAACGGAAGCTGTCACCAGTCGTTTCTTGTTTGTAAAAGTGATACTTCTAGGTTCTTTGTTTTTTTTTGTTTTTTTTTTTAAACTTCGGAGGTTTTAAATCAGAAAAAAAAAAAAACCTGTCTGTCTTGACTGCCCCCAGATAGTACAACAGGAAATTGAATAGCAGTGAGGATAGTGAAGGCCCAGAGACCATGACAGGGGGAGGGGGGACCCAGTACTGATTGGAGAGCGTGCTGATGCGAGCCTGATGAGATTGTTTTAAGTGTGTCAGAGCTTTACCTCGTGGAGAGGAATTCTTTTCTTCATTTTCACAAACAGGTGGGAGGGCAGGTTGGATGAATGGGTAGGTAGGTAGATAGACAAGATCCTTGGAAGTTGTGGTAAATGCTGCAAAGAAAGTGAAACCTGGTGACCCAGTGGTGCACAGTGGGGTTGGGGGAGCACATTAGCGCAGGAGTCGCTGGGGAGCCCTCCTGAGGCCTGAGATGTAAATTGCCAGCAGGAGCCAGCTGTGCATGAGCGAGTGCAAGGGGGAGACCCCGGGGGCCTTGAGCACGGGGCACTGAGGTATATTGTTAAGTAGTCCTCAGGCTGTGAGAAAAATGGGTTGTTGGGGTGCAGAAATGGAAGCCAGAGGGGCCAGTTGGGGGTATCTATGGCAGGAGTCTCAGAAGAGATGGACCAGGATGGCGCAGTGAGGGTGGAGAGACATGGACGGATTTGATGTAGGTTTTGAAGCGGGCAGTGGGTTTAACAGTGGCCCCCAAAACGATATGTCCACATTCAAAACCAGTAAATGTGACCATTTGTAGAAAAAGGATCTTTTTGGATGTAATTAAGTTAAGGATCTTGACATGAAATAATCCTGGATTGTCTGGTGGACCCCAATCCAATCACAAGTATTTTTACAATAGTGAGGCAGACGGAAATTTGATAAACACAGAAGGTGTTGTGAGGACAGACAGACTATAGGGACGCCTGGAGCCCCCAGAGGCTGGAAGAGGCAGGAAGGAGCCTCCCAGGCCTTCTGGAGGGAGCCCTGCCTGTCAGCACCTTGATCATGGACTCACAGCCTTCACGTCTGTGAGGAGGTACATTTCTGTTGTTTTTAGCCACCAAGTTTGTGGTACTTTGTCAGCTGCCATAGGAAACCAAAATAGGTTTTCGTACCAGAAAGTGGAGTGCTACAGTAACAAATACCTAAAAATATGAAAGTGGATTTGGAACTGGATAACAGGTAAAGGATGGAAGAATTTCGAGAAACAATAAAAAAGCCTAGATCACCTTGAAGAGACTGTTGGTAGGAATCTGGTGGTGAAGGTGATTCTGGCCATAGCCCAGAGGACGTGAGCAGCTCGGCAGGGCAAGCTTCTGTCACCTTAGAGGGTACATGACACCACAAACAGAATGTCGTTGGAGATGGGAAGATTAGAGACGCTTCTGATGAGCGCTCAGAAGGAAAAGAGGGGCATAGCGCTGGAAACACAAGAGCGACCCTCACTAGTTACCGAGTGGCAGAAACATGGCCGAATTGTGTTCTGCAGCTGTGTGGAAAGCAGAACTTGGAAGTGATGAATGTGGGTATTTAGCTGAGGAGATGGCCCAGCAAAGAGTGGGTGGTGTGGTCTAGTTTATTCTTACAGTAAAACAGGAGCGGAGAGAGAGGAAATAAGGAAGGAACTGCCAGGGAGTCGGGACGAGCGCTTGCTGATGGTGGAAACGCACAGCCTAACCAGATTGCAGAAAGGGGGTCCTATCAGGAGTGTCCCTGTCAGGCAAGCATGCTCTGCAGAGAAGGCCACGGGTGTGGCTGGACGGCCTGCAGCGGAAGAGATTAGTGGCGTGACTCCTGGTGGCCCAGCCATTGAGGAATGGAGAGCAGTTACCCAGGAAGGACCTGTGAAGCGTCCTCATGTCTAATGGTCTGGGTCACACATGGGAGACCCACAGAGCTCCGGGGAGTGCTGTATCGGGAAAAGCACCACCAGAGACAGGAAAATGAAGACGGGCTGTCATACTTCCAAAATTCTAAATGCAGGGAGTAGGCTGACAGAGCTACTTGGTTGCAAACACGAGCTACCCTTCAAGAAAAAGGAAGAATGACTCCAAGGGACAGAGCCTTGGGGCCATGGGATGAGGCCATCACAGGCCCAGAGCGCAGACCCTCAACCCACAGTGATGGATTCTCTTGAAACCTCATGGAATTTCCCCTGCTGGGTTTCACATTTACTTGAGACCTGCTGACCCTGTTATGCCTTCTAATCTAGCTCCCTTTGAAATAGGAATGTCCATCCCTGCCTACCCCACCCTTGTATTTTGGGAGCAGATAACGCATTTTCTAGTTTCAGGGGTCCACAGCTGGAGAGGAATTTTGCCCCAGGGTGGATGATACCAGTCACCCATACCTGTTTAATATGGTTTAAAAGATAAGGCCTGAGGTTTTTGAGCTGATGGTATCTAGAGGAGATTTTGGAATTTGGAGTTGAGGCTGGAATCAGTTGAATTCTTGGGGATGTTGGGATGGAGTGAATGTATTTTGCATGTGGGGCGGATCTAGATTTGGGGGGTCAGAAGGCAGACTATTGTCGATTGAATGATGACCCCATCAAAGGATGCGTCCACTTCCTAACCCCAAGTGACTTCCTTTGAAACCAGGCCTTTGGAGCTGTGCTAAGAGTCTCGAGCTGAAAGACCGTCCTGGATTATTCAGGTGGCCGGGCGTCTGGTGAGAGAAGGGCAGACACACTGTCTCAGGAGATGTTAAAGATGCGCATGTGTCATACAAAGTGTCTTTTCCGAACTCAGTGGAGGAAGCTAGACATCAATAACAAAAGGAAAACTGGAAATTCACCAAATTGTGGAAATTAACACACTTTCAGACAACCAGTGGATCAAAGAAGAAATCAAAGAGAAATTAGAAAATACTTACAGATGGTTGAGAATGAAACCCGCAAACCAAACCTTATGGGATGCAGTGAAAGCAGTTCTGAGGGAGAAATTTTTTTTTTTTTTTTTAGATTTTTTTATTGGGGAATTGGGGGGATGGGAACAGTGCTGGGGAATTGGGGGAACGGGAACAGACAAGTTGCTGTCGTTTTTTT